ATGCCTTAGATGGAAAAATACTCTTGAAAACTATTGCTTTTGATGGCTGGACAAAGTGAAAGAATTGTCAGAAACAGAGCAAAGTTCGCTCGTTGGGAATTTTTATTGCGTTTACGTGAATCGCGAAGTCCTTCAAAAAGCCACGGGCAGAACTTTATCAATCGAGTCCACAACAGAAAATTTAAAAGCGAACAATGATGAAATGGAATACAATAATAAAATATTATTGCATTACTTTTCAATACCAATAGAATGGAAATTTTATTTTCTATTGTCACGGGGTTTAATACTTAATAAATAATATCTTAGTAACAGCATAGGTGTTTCCGATTTCCACATACAAGGACTTCAAGCGTTTGCAGACAATTATTAACAAAATATTAAGACGACAGCTTAATATTAAAGATATAAGGAGACAATCTCCTATACAGTGTCGGTATAGCTAATCAATAGTAATAATTTTCATATTAATTTTTCAAATCCAAATGTTCGGTCTTCCTGCTTGGATGTGATTCTCACTTACCTAGAAGAAATCCTCGGAAAAATTAATATATATTAATACATTTATCCAAACAAGAGAGCTTTACGCGAACATATTATGCGCAAGGCTTTAAGTGATATATGAATCAAATTTGCTTAGACAGATTTGAGATAGAATGACCTTTTATTGTACCGATCAATCCAGAATCATTTCCTGTATCCATGTCAAGTCATCTGTCTGTCCGTCTGTCCGCCTCGTATTTTTGTATTCAACTTACCGATGCCAATTTTTTCATATAAATAGTTTTATAAAATTTGGCATATCGCCGCGCATTAGCCCAAGGACGAAATCTATTGAAATATGTTGAGTTCGGGTCACATTGTCGACAACTATTCCAATATAAATGAAGCGTCATTTTGAAAAATCCTTGTATGATTACGTGTACTAAGCGAATGATGATGTAGGGTGCTCAATGCTGCGCCGTAAAACAATTTAATATTTTCATGCGAGAAATACGATAACACATCTCTATTTATCCGCATAGATTTTCAACTTTGTTCATAGCTCGTAAACAAATTATCAAAGATTTTACAGCGTTTACTGTTCTGAAATGGTATGGACAAACCCTTAACGCAACTCTCACAACGAACGTTGTCTTCGATTGAGTCGCTGCTGCCCAAGGTACGGAATTCCTTTCTGGCTATGTGTCTAGGAGACACAACGCGGTATAATAATACACATTTTGTAAAAAGGGTTAACTTGGATACCATGACTAACTTCAAATGTGCAAAGTTTTGTTTTTTCTTTTGTTTTAGTGTTAACTGTTTATTTAAAGTAAAGTAAGAGACAAATTTTTTTCAATAACTAAAAAAATATACGTTCAAGCTGCAAATGAGTCTCAAGAGAGCATTATGGTCAAATTAGGATTAATACCAATGAATGTATACATAATTTCAACCTGCGAACGTGCCATACCTCTTAGGAAACTCTTTGTTAATAATACAGAGATCACTTATTTTAAAGTCTAAAGACCTGTCACGTTGAACACAACATATTGTTTATTTAATCTACGTTAGTTCTACGATTAACCACAAGTTATACTTTCCCTGTTTCGATCTTCTGAAATAATCGCGAGGGTGAGCCGCAAAGCTTTTAATAACTTCCTAATAGTATTAATTGTGAAATTTCAAATTTGAATTTGTGTGCTTAGGTTTGTTATCATAAGAAACCAGAAGTTAAATCATTAAAACTTGCATATATTTAAGTGTTGATTCTTATACGGTATTCACTTCCTTTATGCAGTTTTCTACTGCTTACCTTACTGCCTACCAATCTATTGTATCTTCTTAACATCAAAGCAATCAGTGCATGAAGCATTCAGAGAGTCATGTAGTTAGTGTAAGTATCTCAATAAAATCAGTAAGATACTTACTACTAAAAAAATAGTATTGTTTAAAAAAAAATAAATAAATAAAAAAAAAAAAAAAAAAAAAAAAAAAAAAAACAATTTCTTAAAATAACCTTAACTTTTTTGGTAAACTTTTGAAATAAAGAGAAACTTACAATAGTAAGCGAGTGGGTGGTTAACTAACTATAAAAAAAAAAAAAAAAAAAAATGAAAAAAATAAACATTGTAAGCAAGTACGGCTACTGTACGATTTGAAAAACATTAGCTTTTTCGCAAATGAACACTTTACAATCAATTTTCAGTTGTGTTTGTAGAAGCACAAGAACCGAAAAAAAAAAAAAAAAAAGGAAAAAGCCATCAAATCCCATAAAACGCAAAACCATTTATTATACAATCTTGCCGTTTAAAGTGTGTCACAATGACCATTAACACACATTTTCCCCATACAAAGGAAACGTTACTTGCATCTTTATATACGTACACACACACACACATATATATATATACATATATACATATCATCTTGATCAATTGTAAGCATTTAATTACGCTCACCTTTTGTGTACGGACGGATGGACTGGCAAGAAAGAGTTATAGAAGATCTTGTCAACCATATAAGAATTTCGAATTTTTTTTTGTTTTTTTTGTTTTTTTTTTTTTTTGCTTCTACTCTTTCTCTAGCGTTTTATTTTCTTGGCTATTTCAACAGTTTCTGTTACCATTAGCAAAACCGTTATGAAATTATTGATTGTATAATAAACACGTACGTAATGGTTTTTCCAAATAGCATACTCTCATGTATGTAATGTAATGTTATGTTATGTTATTTCTTACAGGAGCAGTAAAAAGTAGCAGCTGCAAGACATTCCATAACAATAATAAAAATGCATTTCAATGCTTAAGAATTCTACGCTCACAGGACAGACAACTAATTCTAGAGAAGAAAATCAAAAAAAAAAAACAAAAAAAGAAGAAAACAAACAAGTAAGAAAGCTTAGTACACCTTAAGGCGAGTCTTGGATACTCACTGTCTCAAGCAAACTTATTTACAAGAACAGTAATGTATTATATTGTTAAGTTTTTTTTTTTTTTTTTTTTGTTTTCAAGTGAATGACACCATTTTCATTCTGAAATTTTAGATGACTCCAATAAACATTTGTGCCAAATCGCACATTGCATTGCATTGTTGTATGGCTATAAGTGAAAGAATTCTAACAAAAGTTTTTCAAATTTTTAATTCATTTAATTTAATATACAATTAAATTAACAGACATAACAGGATGAAATAGATGAACCAATCATTACAAAGCGATAATTCAGAGTTGCATTTATCACTATGTTGAATCAAATGTATTAAGTCTTTTGAATTATAAGAGCACAAATTCTGGATGAAAGGAATGGATGCAATCGTAGTTGGAAAAAACTGCACTAAAAATTTTCATTAAATAATCATTCATAGCGAGTTTAATATTCAACACAGTAGACTTGTGCTATGAATGCCAGCAAAAATGCATTCGTCTGCTATGATAATAAATTGGGTATTCTCGGTTATAAATACTGGCGGTGTTTGGCCAGAAACAGTAATAGATCGCTGCAAGTTCAAAATTTCATATCTGTCACAATAGCATTTGAGTTATTCATATAATTGCACCTGTTCATCAATCATTTTTGCTTCGCTGAAAAAGAAAATTGCAACTCTTCGTAATTGTTTCAAAATGTGTTAAGTAAATATTTCTTAAATCTATGTTATTAAAAATACGAAGAAGGCACTGTATCAAGCACCTTCCTCCTTATGGGGGAAATCTCTATAAACTCTACAAGATCTCGTTGCTTTATTGAAGTCTTTCGGTAAATATTCGTCTGGTCGCGAAAATAAAGCCATCGTCTTCAAATTTAGTAGAAACAGTATTGAGATTGGGCCAAATCGGTCGAAGGAAACGTCTATACGGCAAAACAACCTCAGGCTATCTCTGTTTTTAAAATTAAACAAGAAATGTTTTTCCGCTCATTACTTGTAAACCAAAACAGATAGATCAATACAAATTTACATTGATATTCTATGAACGATTCTATAGGACCTGTACAAATATGGATAAGAAATCGGCCCCGCTTAACCAATATTAGCAAAATATTGAAATTTCAGTGTTTTTTTTTAAATGTTTGCAACACCCAGAAGAACCCTTCAGAGATCCTATAATGTCGACATAGCATTGCTCAGTACAAAATGTGAATCGTTCTAAAAAATATTGTCAGTCCGTGCGTCTATCCGGCTGTCAATTGCCCATGGCCGCAGTCATCTGCAAATATCTGCTTGAAATTTTGCAAAAACATTAAATGTCGTTGCACTCGGGTTGATATTAGAAATGAACGAAATCGGTAAAAGGACACGCCCATAGAACATATCCCAACTTTCTGCTATAGAGTATGAAAATTCAATTTTTTGCTTTTTTAGGATAACAGTGAAGGGCATAAAAGGGTTCGGTCACTGCCAAATCTAATTTTCTTACTTTTTTATTTTGCTTATAGCGTAGTCTTATGTTATTAAAAACATATGTTTCACATTAAATCTACTGATAAGTAATTCATATGCCATGTTAACGCGACCCTTGTGTTTTGCCATTGATGTAAATGGAGTGAGCTCGACTTTGGAAACACTGGTTTAATTAAATACATCTCTTTATAATATCTCGATGCATTATAAATTTTATTATATAGCATTTTTTCTGCGCAATTTTTCATACTAAAAGATTTATTCGAATTGCGTATTCAGTTTAACGTACGGTTAACTAAACGTATAAATGAGTGACAACTGCACAGATATCTCATTAATAGCTTTTGTAAATAGTAATAAATTTGAAAATATAAAGAAGACTATGCAGTAACTTGATAATCTGGTTTTTTCATTGTATGTATATAAAGTATTCTGTATTATGGCGCAATGGACTTTTATCTGTATTATTGTTGTTGTTATTGTTTTTTGTCAGATTGAATTTAAGCAAAATTTCAATCGTCTCACTCCCAACCCGAATGAATCGCGCTTGTAACTTGACGAGTTTGTTTGCAAAAATCACTAACGTTAGCCGCAAATTTACACATGCTGTGAACAAAAAAAAAAAAAAAAAACAACTTAATAAATAAATAAATAAACAAATGTGTGGTAATGATAATAAATTTCACGACAATCTTGTCAAGACAATTAAAATACCGAAGTATTATATACGTTTACTATATTTTATTTATGGAATGCGCAGATGGTCTTACGAGCTTTTTTTCTACTTCTTCTTCTTCTTTTTCTTTACAATAAAATGCCATACTCTTTGCGAATTTCAAACAAGTACCTACCATAAAATACCCTACATACATAATGTCGCTTCGTATCATTATTCATATAAAACCTTTTGCAAAGTAAGCGTAAATCGTTGCGGGCGAAAACACGTTGGTCTACCAACGTTTCATCAAATCGAAATCTCGAAAATTACGATCTGTACGTTAAACGCCTGACGAACGGACAGACAAGCTTAGAATCACTTTCCGACTCGATTGATATAAGAAATGTTCAATTTATTTCAAGTTCTTCTGCGTGTTGCCGGCATCAGCACAAAGTTATTATACCCTTTCACCGCAACTAAAGTGTGTAGGGTATAACAAGACGCTATTAACAAGTTGACTAAACGAATACAAATCAACATTTGAATAGAAATGCACTGTACACGCAAAAGTCTTCTTTTTTCGGGGGGCAAAAAAAAAACAAAAAAAACAAAACTCACTTTTTCGGTTCCTCTTAATGATGATCAAACTTCATAAGGTTAGGCAACTGATGCAGTTAATCTTTCAACTAAATTATCTGAATAACAATCGATCTTTGCGTTTATTTATGTTTCCAATTTGATTTATCCGTCAAAAGAATGATAATCAACAAGTAAGAAAATTATCTGCGATCGTGACCGAATCTTTTATACTCATCGTCGTTATCCTATAATAGATGGAAGAAAAAGAGAAATATAAATTTGCATACTACATAAAGTAGAGTGGGCGTGGCTGGTTTTTCTTGTTTTTGTAAAATAATTTTTTGGAAGTTTACATCGTGTATCTATTGTAGTTTATGAGCAAAGAGCAGACGACACACGAGGTTGTGTGCCACAACTCTGTTGGGCTGACAAACAGACGGACCCGCTTAGGTGAATTACCTTTAATCCTCTGCACTTTCGGAAACTTGCTTCTGCGCGTTATAAATACATTGAGAAAAACTTAAAACGGTTACACTACAATATTGAGTAGGTGTGGTCAATTTTTTTCATTTTTGTACAGGCGTTACACCAACGCCAATAGAATATATTTTCATATTTTTGTACAATGATCTGCTATAGTTCATGACTAATGAGGGAAAAACTAATTTTTGATCCCTTTTGAAAAACAGAAATGTTCCCAGTTTACGTGATACTGTAGGCGCATCCTTCGACCGATTTCGCCCAACGTCGACACCAACCTACAGACGAACATGCTCAAACCGCTTTGCAGAATAAATTCACCCATCATCCCTGATGGTGATGGGTATAACAAGACTTGAGGAGAAACAGTACACCGGAAGTAAGGATCGAAATCCAAGTACACCTTCGAGCTTCCAATTGCTTATAACGATCTATCGATTTATTAAGTAATTCTATGATCAAATCGAAATAACTTAGCGAATGTAGCTCTTTTCGATTAATATAATGGGCTTCGCATGTTATTGATAGGATTTATTACAGCCAGTATTTATATATTACATTACATGTTGGGTCATATTAAACATTTTTCGCGGTTCTTTCTGCGGAATGCTGTTGATGTCCATATATCGAGCAACACTCATCTGATTGTCTCAAACGAACTTGTACTTAGAAAGTAAGATTTCAGCTTATATTTTTTATGAAGATAGTTTTCCAATTCCTTGCTCGTGTAAAAAATTATATTGATTCGAAAGTGGATGAAATATCTGAAGAAATACGCAATGTGAAGCTTTGTTACTGTGAAAGAAGTAAAAACGTTGCAAAAAAAAAGAAGAAATTTATAAAATATACTGTGAGAATGAGTGAATTGAGTGAACGAAGGACCCAGCACTAGATTGGAGCAGGCTACAAAAAGAAGCTCGATATCGCCGAAAAAACGGCAGACACTTTCATTGTGACCTATTATTATATTATTTTGAATTATATTTTATCATTTCGTTTCTAATATCGTAAATTCAACCGAGTTTGACTTTCTATACGTCGTTCTAATTAATTTAAAATATCCACAAATCGGTAACGCTTAACTTTCATCAATAACTAAAAGATCAAAGTGACAACGGTTCAGCTTCACTGACTTTGACGTGCCGCATCAGTGGCCTACCAGCTGCGCTGGTCAAGGTAAATAGCTTTGTCAATTGCTTGTTTTATCTGCTACCGTACCGCCGTAAGAGTACAAACTACAGGCAATCGTTTCGATTCACAGAAAAGAGAGTAGGATTACTACTGTATATATGTATGTTTATATATATATGAATACACATATGTCATCAGTCAACAAAAGAGCTGTGGAGAATGCCTACCACCAGCGCAATAATGAATACATTTTTTTAATATATTTAAGGCGATTTACCTGAGTACGGGTGGATTTTGCAGAGTTCTGTCTTTATCAGTTTGTCCTCTCAAGACATAGAGATATCGTGCCAAATTTAAAGTCGTTCGATACGCCAACGCTGCGAAGCAAAGCCCACAGAGCCTGCAGAGCCTATACAGAAAATCTGTAAAACCGATTCGTATTTCGAATCGTTATTCGTTTGATTGTTCTCTATTTCAATTCTACTCTCGCCGCTCTAGGAATCCGAATATTTTCCATAGATTAATTACATGCAATGATACTGTAAAGCGTTCGGCTTTAATTGATTATAAGCTGCTGTGGTTGTTCTGCACGCAAAAAAACCAATTTGACAGTCGCTGTTCTGAACATAAAAATCAAATAAGTGCAAAAACAAAGAATACTCACAAACGTCAATAGATTTGGGCAATTTAAGTGATTGTTGCCAGTGCTGACGATCTTCAAAGCTGCAACTAGCGTCTACGTTTTAAATTAAATGAAATTTAAAATCGAAACAATTGCAGAAAATTGTTGGCACAGACAACAAATAAACAAATGATTTTTTTTTTTATTTTTTTTTTTTTTTTTATTTCACGCTATCACTTTCACTTAATTTTGAACAAAATGGGAAAAAATCAAATATGAGAAAAAGGCAAAAAAAATACAACAAACCGGTAACTTGTAAAAGCGAATAACATTTAAGAGTCATAAACCGCAATTTAAATAAGTCGGAAACCAGAAAAATCGCGAATTTTTTATTTAAAAGAAATTTTTTCGTTTTATCGCTTTGTTTTTTTTCTATAATTTTTCGCTTATTGCCTTGCGTTATGTTTCGACAATACAACTTTTTCGTCTTTTTAACAATCGCTTACTAGAGAAGCTGCTGATAGGCTAGTGCTCCTTAACGGTTTTTCATTTGAAAGCGATCGCAATACTGAAAGACGCTTGAAAAACCCATTGTTCATCAGTTGTTTGAGATGAAAGAATAGAATAATAACGCTCGAGTCGGCTATTAAATATACATACTTAAGTATTAAAGAAAAATAAACAAATAATTTTTGAAAAAATAACAAAATAAAATTAGCAGCACCGCAACATACTTCTCGTAAAGTATTTGAAGGCAAGCAGTACACATGATGCAAATTGGAATTAAAAAAAAAAAAAAAATTTAAAAAAAAATATTTTTATTATAATTATTATAATTAATTTAATGAGAGAAAAAAATTCGAAGGTTATCTCACTTGAGATTTGCACCCACGACCATTGAGCTGTTAGTCGAGATCCGTAGCCTACTCGGCCACTCAAGCGGCTTTGAAGCGAAAATAAGGAATCATATTATCTGCATAGGGTAACGATTAAATCAACTTATGCAACCAATCGTTCGACTTTGTCTGGAGAATCCCACTTCAAAGTTCCTATTAAATATTCAAACGAAAAGAATGAATGAATGAATGAATGAATGTTGGAATTATTGTTCGAGTCGTTTTGCAAAATCATATTTCGAGAGAAACGGCTTTAACCGTAAGCTGGTCACGTGTCACGCGATATGACTCTCAGTCACATTTGAGAATCGTGGGAATAAACAAGACGTTACTGTTTACGCTTACATGCTTTACTTCTATTTATTTATGCATCCAAGCAAACTACACCTTAACATAAAATAAAACACACAGGTCATAATGTGACCGCATGATAAGATTGTTTATTTATTTATTTATTTTTTAAATTAATTAAATTCCACTAGTCTGCAGTCGCAGAACAATTAAAATGCACTTATTTATCTTTCCTGTTCTTACTTATCCTTCCTACTCTTACTTATCCTTCTTGGTCTTACTTATCTTTCCTGCTCTTACTTATCGAATCCTGTTCTTACTTATCCTTCCTACTCTCACTTATCGATTCCTGTTCTTACTTATCCTTCCTGCTCTTACTTATCCTTCTTGCTCTTACTTATCCTTCCTGTTCTTACTTA